CGGGGTTTCAAACCCTCAGGATATCATTTACAATCATTACTTACCTCGAACCGGCAAAATCTCTAGCTCGCGATGCCTTTTCCCCTCAAATCGGCCTCCACGCGCGTGGAATCTATCCAAAGACAAAGCGAATACATCACAATATGCTAAGGGACAAAGCCCAAGCGATAACAAACAATAACGGGCACAAATCCCGAAATTACCAAAACCCGAGCCCCGGGCCCACTTCTCGAAACTCAGAAATTTTCACATCAATAGATTCCCTATCTTTCCACGAGTTCATACATATCAAGAACTCCTAAATCCGAGCTCAAATGGCCTATCAAATCCCAATTCAAAAATCTCCAATTTTCAGGCCCTAGTTATTCAATTTTTGGCTTAATTTCCATAAATTTCTAGGTAGATTTCATAATAGAAACGAGTATTGAGTTCAAAAATATTACCTCAAGGTGATTCCCCTTGAATCTCTCTTCAATTAGCTCTCCCAAGCTCCAAAATCGCTCAACAATGGAGGTTCTTAACCTCAAAATCGCGGAATAGCCTTTATAAAACATTTTGCCCAGCACTTAAAAATCCTTCTTCGCGAACGCGGTCAAAGCCTCGCGTTCGCGAAGCACAAAAATTCCATTGACCAAAATTCTCCTACGCGAACGCGACAACCAGCTCGCAAACACGTAGCTTACCCAGGCAAACCTCCGCGAATGCGACCCCACTCCTGCAAACGCGAAGCACAAATTTCACTACCAATCCACCTGACCCAATTCCTCTTATGCGAACGCGAATATAACCATGCGAACGCGTTGAACAGCTCATGAACCCTTCGCGAACGCGTCACATGCCTCGCGAACGCGAAGGATAAACCTTCACTCACTCAACAGACTCTTCGCGAACGCGGGGCTCCTCTCGCGAACGCGAAGACCAAAAAGTCTGCAACTGCTGGAACTGATTTCTGCACTTCCAAAACTCCAAAAATGGCCCGATTGACCACCTGAAACTCACCCGAGGCCCTCGGGACCTCAACCAAACATACAAACATAATCCATAACATCATTCAAACATGTTCCAATCATCAAAACACCTCAAACAATATCGCAGTACTCAAAACTCATCGAATTCAAGCCTAAGTTTTCCAAAAACTCCCAAAATACACTTTCGATCAGAAACCCGACCAAACGACGTCCGAATAACCTAAAATTTTGCACACACATCACAAATGACATAACGAAGCTACAGCAACTCTCAGAATCCCATTCCGACCCTCGGGTCAAAATCCCATCTATCAACCGGAAATCGCCAAAATACTAACTTTGCCA